GCAATCCACTACCACAGGCGATTCTATGGTAACACCAGTAAGTTAAGATTATTACCAAATGTGTATTACATAACTCTTATAGTTTGAGAATGTCATCAAGTTGCATTGTAGTCTGCCTCTTACATTCAATTGCATGCAGTATAAGAGTGGAACTTTTCCTCTGATGTTACAATGCATGTTTAATTAATTTGATGTCATCACTGCTACCTGCCAATACCTGTTCATGATTCTTTCTTACATAATTAGGAACTATGTTTTCCATTCGATCAACATAATTGTTTAGGTATTTAAAGAAGTACTTTCATGAGGTCAATATTCCTCGTCTCCCTTCTTGCTTTTTAAAGAGATGGTTTATCTTTAACTATTTTTTCTCTCTTCCTTAGATTAATAATATTTCACAGTGTGTCTGTCCAGCAATACCTGGTCCGCCTGGTCCAAAGGTATGTATGTTATATATTTATTTTTTCCTTAGTGGAAACAACAAATCTAGATACATTTGCAATTTAGCTGGCATTAAGTCTATATTTCGAAGTTTCTTTCTGTCTTGAGAAAGCTGCCCAAGACAAGAAAACACCTCTTATCTTTCCCCAAATGTAAACTAAACCACATCTAAGCTACTTGTGCTATTTACTGCTGTAAATTACACTGTCAAACCATTCAAAAAATCAATAGTATTGTGCCTTAAAAGTTGCTTGTTAGTCAAGAATTCAGCTATTATTTCTCCTTATGCTGAGATGACTTGAAGTTATTAAGTTAGATTTACTGTCGTGGATTTGTTAACGGCACAAAATGTCTGCCAAGGATGCAGTGGGAGTATGAGTTGCTAAAAAAGCAAATAGAAGCTTTGAGGATCTGAACTGGTTTCCCCAACCTGATATCCTTCAGAAACAACTCCAAGCATCATCTGCCCTCCAAACACATCCAGAATACACCATGTTGAACAGGGATAGTTTTGATTATACTTTAGACTGCTGTTTCTCAATCTTCTAAGATGTCATTCCTCAGAATTCCCCTGCCACCATGTTGACAGAATGTGCACTGTTCTTCTTATCTGAAGTTCTTTTTTTCTTTTTTAACCACAGGGACCAAAAGGTGACCAGGGTCCCCCAGGACAAAAAGGACTAACTGGAAAAATTGGACCAACTGGCAAACCTGGCAATCCTGGCCTTCCAGGACCTCAGGGACCACCAGGACCAGTAGGTCCCCCAGGGCCACCAGGTTCAACTCTTCCTAAAGTAATAGACTTCACTGATACCAAGGATGGAAAAGACAAGGTGAGATTTGTTGATAGACTACAGCAATATTGATGTTTTTACAATAATATAAAAATACTATGTTCACCAAGCAAAGATACTATATCCACCTTTCCTTGTTATCCCAAATTCACATAATGCTTCAAGTTTATTCAAAATGTGATCTGATTTATTTGCTTGCCTGCTTTCTTTTTGGCTGATCTTGTTTTAGTTAACTAGTAATGCTAAATCAGGGGTGGGATTCTACTGGTTCGGACCGGTTCTATAAAACTATAGAATTGTTATGATTCTGCACAGTTCAGAGAACCGCCAAATCGTGGCCCAGCCCCACTCCGCCTGCCCCTCCCTGACCAGTCAGTCCTTATCGTGCATGCGCAACATTGCTTACACGCCCGACATTGCTGACTGCGTTCTTCCCTGCCCAGTCACTCCTTAAGGTATTTCCTTTTTCCCCCCTCCCAACAATCAGCTGTTCCTATAATCAGCTTTGCCAGGATTCCCCTTGGTGTCTTACTGTTTTGCCCAGGAGGCTTCCCTGAAGCCCAACAGTCCCCAAAATGGACTGTGGGGATGCTGCGGGGGGGGGGGGGGGTGCAGCCTCTGTTTTTTTCCTTCCTGGGCCCCAGGAAAGCCTTCTGGGAGCAAAAATGTTCCCCCAGGAGGCTTCCCTGAGGCCCAGAGGGCCCCAAAATGGAGCATGGAGTGCTGTGGGAGCCCCCCCAGGCTCCGTTTTTTGCCTTCCTGGATCCCAGCCTTTTGGGAGCAAAAACACCCCCCCGGAGGCTTCCCCGAGGCCCAGAAGGCCCAAAAAATGTGGGGGGATGTTTGCTGCTTCAAAAAAAGCCATGCCTACCCAATCACATGGCCATGCCCACCTAGCCATGCCTACAGAACCGGTTGTTAAAAAATTTGAATCTCATCCCTGTGGTGAATCCATTTGTTGCCTCCAAATTCACTGCAAAGTTGGAAGAGGCAAAGAGGTTAAGATTTTGTTTGTTGTGGACTAGAATGTAAAAAAGAAAAATGACCAGTCTTAAACCACAATTCTGTGTTCCTTCAAAAAGCCTAAATTGAGGAAAGGAAGAATAGATTATTTCTCACCACTATGGTGAAATCAAAACTTCATTAAACCACAACAATATATATGGATGTTAAGGTAGAAAGAAGAGGCACAATTCTAAGCCAAAAAAAGTTCTGTGCTGCCTCTCCCTCCATACTAAGTAACCTTTTTACTCTTTGACTTCCTTATCAGCCTATATACACTGCTCAAAAAATAAAGGGAACACAAAAATAAGACATCCTAGATCTGAATGAATGAAATATTCTTATTAAATACTTTGTTCATTACATAGTTGAATGTGCTGACAACAAAATCACACAAAAATTATCAATGGAAATCAAATTTAGCAACCCATGGAGGTCTGGATTTGGAGGTACACTCAAAATTAAAGTGGAAAAAAACACTACAGGCTGATCCAGCTTTGATGTAATGTCCTTAAAACAAGTCAAAAGGAAGCTCAGTAGTGTGCGTGGCCTCCACGTGCCTGTATGACCTCCCTACAACACCTGGACATGCTCCTGATGAGGTGGCAGATGGTCTCCTGAGGGATCCCCTCCTACACCTGGACTACAGCATCCCCCAACTCCTGGACAGTCTGTGGTGCAACGTGGCCTTGGTGGATGGAGCAAGACATGATGTCCCAGATGTGCTCAATTGGATTCAGGTCTGGGGAACAGGCGGGCCAGTCCATAGCATCAATGCCTTCATCTTGCAGGAACTGCTGCCACACTCCAGCCACATGAGGTCTAGAATTGTTGTGAATTAGGTGGGACCCAGGGCCAACCGCACCAGCGTATAGTCTCACAAGGGGTCTGAGGATCTCATCTCGGTACCTAATAGCAGTCAGGATACCTCTGGCAAGCACATGGAGGGCTGTGTGGCCCCCTAAAGAAATGCTGCCCCACACCATTACTGACCCACTGCCAAACCAGTCATGCTGGAGGATGTTGTAGGCAACAGAACGTTCTCCACAGCATCTCCAGACCCTGTCACGTCTGTCACATATGCTCAGTGTGAACCTGCTTTCATCTGTGAAGAGTACAGGGCGCCAGTGGCGAAGTTGCCAATCTTGGTGTTCTCTGGCAACTGCCAAACTTCCTGCACGGTGTTCGGCTGTAAGCACAACCCCCACCTGTGGATGTCAAGCTCTCATACCACCCTCATGGAGTCTGTTTCTGACCATTTGTGGCCCGCTGGAGGTCAGTTTGCAGGGCTCTGGCAGTACTCCTCCTGTCCCTCCTTGCACAAAGGTGGAGGTAGCGGTCCTGATGCTGGGTTGTTGCCCTCCTACGGCCTCCTCCACATCTCCTGATGTACTGGATTGCCACAGCTTGCATTGATGTGCTATCCTGGATGAGCTGCATTACCTGAGCCACTTGTGTGGGTTGTAGACTCTGTCTCATGCTACCACTAGAGTGAAAGCACCACCAGCATTCAAAAGTGACCAAACCATCAGCCAGAAAGCATAGGAACTGAGAAGTGGTCTGTGGTCACCACCTGCAGAACCACTCCTTTATTGGGGATGTCTTGCTAACTGCCTATGCTTTCTACCTGTTGTCTATTCCATTTGCACAACAGCATGTGAAATTGATTGTCAATCAGTGTTGCTACCTAAGTGGACAGTTTGATTTCACAGAAGTGTGACTGACTTGGAGTTACATTGTGTTGTTTAAGTGTTCCCTTTATTTTTTTGAGCAGTGTTATTATTGAACTGTACAACTTGTAAAAAGCACAATATTGTGACCCTGTATTATGGGCTCAGAATGAGACCCGGAGGGGAAAACATACCCTGTTTTGTAGTCCTAGGCAAGAAACATGCACCAACATTATGTCCTGTTCAATTTTATTGCCAAGATAATAGTATTAGTTCAAAAAAATTTTTTATAATAATTACAATTAAAAAATAAAAACCAATATGAACTTTTTTAAAAAAAGAATAAAAAATAGAAAATGTGGAAAGGAATAACAAATAGAAAGAAAAATAGAAAAAAAAAGATAGATAGATTTCCCCCTTGATCACAACAAGGATAAATAGTGATAGGAATTTATCATCTTTTTTAAAAAAATACAACAAATGAATTTATAAAGGATAGACTTGAAAAAGATATACTGTATATATAAATGAAACTGGCTGATGTCTTAATAAGTTTGAAAGGCATCTAATTTAATACTGTATGACTTGAGGTTCACATATGTACTTTATACGAGGACAGGTTTAACAGATAAGCAATATCCCTTGTGACTATTGTACCACTTGAATCTATTAGCCTTTTCTGCTGTTTCTCTGTCATCTTTGTGTTTTTCTAGAGAGTCACTTTTGTAGGAGGGCCTCCTGGTCCACCAGGTATATCTGGTCAACCAGGGCATCCAGGACCCCAAGGATACCCAGGACCTGAAGGCCCTCAAGGTGCCCCTGGCCTCCCAGGACATGAAGGCCAGCAGGGGGCTCCAGGGCTTCCAGGGGCTCCAGGCCAACCTGGTCCTCCAGGAGCCACAGGAGCAACAGGTATTCCAGGGCCAGTGGGGTCAGAGGGCCCTCCAGGAATCACCGGCCCTGAAGGTCATGCAGGAATTCCAGGCCAGATTGGGTCACCAGGATTACCAGGCTTCCCTGGACCAGAAGGTCCTCCAGGAATAAATGGATCTCCCGGAAAGAATGGACCAAAGGTAACCGTTGCCTTTACTATGAGAATTTGGGGGATATGTGAGTGGAAGAATGAGTTGATTAAAAAAAGCATCATCAAGATATAATTATGAAAGAAGCAAATTGCTTAGAGCTGATTGTTAATTCATGAGATTTGTTTGTTTGTTTTTTACTTGCTATGCTGATTTGTGGATATTAAATCCTTTCAGGGGGAGAAAGGAGACCGTGGTGAGCCTGGGTTGCCAGGCAAACCAGGACAGACTGGAGAAAAGGGAGCTCAGGGTCCACCTGGGCCTGCAGGTCCTCCTGGCTTACCTGGTGATAATGAAGCAAATCAGGTCAGTAGAAGCAACTCGGCTTCCAGCTAGCACACAACAACCCATTTGTTCTCCATGTAAAGTATTTCCATGGTCATCGGTGCTATGAGCTGGCATCTAGAAGCAAAAATGTATACCTTTATTCCATTTTTATAAGTTATAAACCTGAAAACATACAAACGCCTTATTTATTTTGGAGACAGAGTGGGGTGCTCACAGCCTGTAAGCCACTTGTGCCCCATCCTCTTATTTGCAATCGCTAAAGCCTCGCTCTCCAGAATAGGACGGGCATAAATGGTCAAACTTGGGGGGGGGGGGTTATATTGGCGAAGATTAAAGGGACAAACTAATCACCTGAAGTGTTGGTCTTTAAAAGACTGAAAATCCAAAGAATCAAGGTGATTTTCCCATTGGAGGGAAATTTAAGAAGCCAAATGGATTCTTTATCCTTTCCCAAAGAAATACAAACACAAAAAGTCCAACTTTCCAGCTGTGACTATTTTATTGATATCCCAGTGTCACTATGATATTCAGAAGATTATACAGAATATTATACAGTTAAAATAATTTTATACTTTTATTGTGGGTTAAAGGAAAGATCCAAAAAGTCAAATGAGTTTTTTAGGTTTTATTTTTTTTAATTTACACTAATTCACGATTCAAAATTATGTTTTGCTATTTGCCTCCCACCGTTCATTCCTTTAATGAATGCCAAAAGAAAAAACATCTTATTCCTGGACAGGAGAGCAAAGGCTTCTTTTGGAATACATGAATATAGTCAGGATAATTCTTCATTGTCTGACATGGTTTATTTGTTTTGTCTCCAGCCATAAGCACAGCATTCTGACAAGTATACACATAAGAAAGATCAAAAGTGTTGTTATCTACATACACTGATAATAGGTTGGGGTTATTCCTATGGTGCTGCACTGATCCCTTCTCTTGTTCTTTCTAGTATAATTCTAAAGCCTGTGTTCAAGGCCCTCCTGGTCCTAAGGTAAGTCATGGTCTTAACCAAATCCTATGGATGCTGCCTGTCCTCCTCGCTGGCCTGCAAGTCGTAACGTGTGCATTTGATTCAACCTTCCTAGAGCAGGAGTCGCCAACCTTTTGGACCTCAGGGACCACCAAATTCATAATTTTAAATCCCAGGGACAACTAACCGGTTCTGTGGGCATAGCCTAATTTGTGGTGTGGTTTGGTAGTCATGTGGCTGGGCATGGCTTGATGGTCAGAAAAAGGAAAAATAACAATTTAGTCGGCAAGTTTGACAGGTAAGGAGTGAGTGGGCAGGGAGGATTCTTGCCGGCCATGTGGGCGGCACAACCTTGTGTTTCTGTATAGCATGGATTAATTACTTTGGGGGGGTGCTCTGGGGGTGAGATTTCTCTGTGGCCCACCAAAATTTTCTCACAACCCACCAGTGGGCCATAGCCCACCAGATGGTGATCGGTTGTCCTAGAGTACAGGAATACAAGCTGCAATCCCAGCAGTGTATATACAATAACCAGAGTCCCTAGCTAAGATTCTGTGCAGTTCGTAGAGCCACCAAATCCCACTTCTGGCTGGCCCCCCTCACCCTCCCTTACCCCTCTCACATCCCCACGTGTCCCATTTTGGCCCGTTTAAGTGCAGGGCAGGTGTGGAGGCTCGGGGAAGGTGGAAAACGGGCCTCCTGGAAGTTTGGGAAGGCTGGAAATGGGCCCATTTCTGGCTTACAGAGAGCCTCCGGAGGTCGTTTTCACCCTCCTGAAGGCTTGAGGAAAGTCTCCAGAGCCCGGGGAGGGCAAAAATGCCCCCACACCATGATGCAGGAGGCCACGCCCACCATGGCCACACACACACACCCAGCAACCGAGCAGAGAAGCTTTTGCTAACAATTATGAAGCCCATCCCTGACAATAACACTTCAAAGTTTCAGCATTTGTAGTTCTCAACTTACAACTGGTCACTTCGCAACTGTTCAAAGTTACAACAGGCTTACCTACTTGGGGCTAGATTTGAAGTTCTGACAATCAAGACACACACACATACACAAAACCTCACAGTTACATAATCAAACTTTGGTACTCAGCAACCAGGCTGTATTTACAGCACTTTGCAGCATCCTTAAGTCATATGACTATGTTTTACAACAGATTTGCCATTTACTTGTCAGCAAAACCATTCTCATAACAAACTATTACTTCACTTAATGACTGCAGTGTTCATTTAAAGACTGCAGCAGTCACTTTACAACTACCATGTTCTCTTAAGGACTGCCACACAAAAAAAGAGGTAAAGTTGGAAGGTCACTTTGACGATCTTGATGGATAGGTTCCATTATGGTTCTAAGTTGAAGATTACCTTGTAACTCTTTGAAACCTTCCTTAAATCACTAGTTATAAGGAATTATAGTTGTTATGTGATTGGACATATGAAGAGAAATCCTGTTAATTTTAATCAAATTCAGTTGTTGTTTTTCTTGTCCAGGACAAATTCAACAACCATTAATAGATGGCATTGAAAAATAGACAATCCAAGGCAATTCAGATATTCCAGTTCTCAGCATCCTTCCTCACTGGCCTAGCTGGCTGGAGCTGCTGGGAACTTTCATTCAAGCACATCTAGAATGCCTCCCTTTGTCTATTCATATAGAAAGTCTATTTCAATGCTACTGCCAATTTACAGCAAAATAGCAATGATAGTATAACAAGCATTGTTTGAAACCCTCAGAGTTAAAATGAGCCTTTACCACAGAGAAATCTTCACTGAACTAATAAGAATAATGATCATAACTTCTTAAAGGTAAGGATTCATAGGGAGACAACTACAATAGCAAAAAATCTACATGCATTCCAGCTTTTAAAATGAAATCCATGTCAAGAGTCTTTACTACCACAAATGTCAATTGTAGTGAAAGATCAGTTCTTCTACCTGCAAATACAGCTTTCCTATCTTGCTTATTTATAAGCTTGCTTTCAAGAAGGCAAAACCAAGAATTTGAAATCCTACTAGTACTACCTGATTTTTTTTTTTTTGTTTACTTGATTTATTTGCAGGGTGAAAAAGGAGAACCAGGAAAAATGGTGCGTAATCATAGAAAAAAATATCCCATCCTCCAAGGCTCATTGATGGAAAAGAAATTATTTTTATTTTACTTTTAAATTCTCTAGAAGGCTTAAAAAGGCTTATTTTCCCACAGGAATGTAGCACATGTGGCAAGGATGCAAGAAATGACATTGATTCTTGGGTAGCTTTCATCTACCAAAAGGTATGTTAAAGAGATGTGTAATCCCTGTTTCATTATTGGTCTGGGAGAGCAGATCTAACTACTAACCAACATAACTTTTTCTCCCTTCCTCCCATTCTGAAATATCAGTCCAAGGAAATCTGGAGAACTGCTGTGCAGAGGCTTCATTCCAAGATGGGCTTGGCAAATTATCCACTTTATCTCATGGAGAGAAGCCCAAAGCTATAATATAATTTGATTTTTCTTAGAGGAAAGAACTCTCTAGGTTTTTGTGGGTCACTTCATTATTTGCTCCATTTACAAATACCAAAACTGGGACATAACGGAGACAAGCAGATATTGTTGCACAGATAAAAAACTCTGCAAACTGCATTAAATTCTCCAAGAGTTTTTTTAATGTAGACTTCTCACAGCTACACTGTCCTAACTAGAAACAATTAGCATGTTTTCCCTTTTCCTGCTTCTCTCAATTCAAGTGACTCTCTATTAATTATAAAGTGAACTTAAAGCTCTTTGGTCGCCCATAGACATCCATTTCAAGAGGAAAAAAAACCTCTATACAGGTAGTCCTTGACTTATGACCTCCAGTGACCTTTGCCCCATTTTATGACTTCTCTTGCCACAGTTGTTAAGTGAATCACTGCCATTGGTGAGTTAGTAACACAGTTGTTAAATAAACCCGGCTTCCACATTGATGTTGCTTGTCAAAAAGCCGTAAAAAGGGCTCACATGACAGGACACTACAACTATTATAAATACCAACCACTTGCCAAGCATCCAAATTTTGATCATGTGACCATGAAGATGCCACAATGGTTGTAAGTGGGGATAAGTCATTTTTTTTCAGTGCTGCTATAACTTTAAATAGTCACTAAATGAAAGATTGTAAGTCAAGGACTACTTATATATTTGTAAGTTAGAATTTTTTCCATCAATATTAAAATATTTTAATGAATAGTTTAAGTGAATATGGTGTAGATGGATGCAATATTTCAGTATAGATGATTAGGCAGTTTGCTTCCTTTTCTCTCTCTCTTCCAGAAATTCAAAGGAGATCTAGAGACATATGGTCCCAACCAAGTAAGCCACATCCAATTTATCCTTATCTGCAAAATTCCTTGTTTTGTTTCAGTTTGATCCCGTAAAAAATATGTGTTGTTTTTTGGACTTTGGGATGTCTTAAATCCCATCCTAACTTTTTCCTCAAAGAAAATTCCATGACTGAATGAGCCATGCATACTCTCATATTGTATATGCAGAATGCTTCTACAATTTACATTGTGGTAGAACATTAGTATCTATGGCTCTGCCATATAAAATTCATTCACGCATAGGAATTACTTGCAGAAAATTATCCATCTCTGCAAAACTTAATTTCAAAATAATACTTTTTATCTCTTCTAGGGACGTCCAGGCCTCCCAGGAAACCCTGGCCCTCCAGGCCCTCCAGGCCCACCGGGTGCACTTTATATAAATGTAAGTTAATTCTCCTATTTAATTCTGCCAACACTCCATTATTTTATCTTTTCCTTTTTGATGGATTTTCTCCGAAATAGAATGATGGTACGTTGTAGGACTGGATTGCAAACACAGGATACCCGAAAGATTGTAAAGTTCTGTGAATAAAGCAGGATCCTTATAATATCTTCTAGTGTCGTAGAATCTCAGCTACCAATGAGGCAATAAAAGCTTGTCCCATCGCTACTATTTTGTGCTACTAGCTCATAATAATTAGATGACTATAAAATACGTTGCAATGTGACAGTGTTCCTGAATTTTACAATGTGTGGACTTCAACTTCCTGAATTCCCCAGCCGGTATGCTGGAGAATAGAAGTCCACATATCCTAAAGTTGTGGGATTGAGAAACACTCTACTATGGGGATCGTTTCTCAAGGCAGAACCACACCAACGTGAGCCCATTCATCATATGCCATAGTATTACAGGCAGAAGGGAAATCAAGCATTTTATGGAAAGGAATCAGTGGAATGATTTGCCTCCAGAAGTTGTGCAATGTTGGAGGTTTTAAAGAAGAGATTGAACAACTATTTGCTGAAATGGTATAAGGTTTCCTGCTTGAGCAGAGGGTTGGGCTAGAAAACCTCCATGGTCCCTTCCAACTCTGTTATTTTAAAAACTAGAAATCCAGCTTTTTAGATATTTTGTGTAAACATTGTGCATAATTACTGTTGGTTGCTGTTAAGGAACACTGGCCTTTTTTTGAAACTGGAGACAATTATGGCACATAAGCAGTAAATAAGGAAGAAGAAATACCCCTTCTTTGACTGCTCTTAGCTCTTTTATTTCTGTTTTCACTCGCTATGGAATCCATGTTTATTATCCAGTTTAGGGATCAAGTGGTACCATTAATAGGAGGAGACTAATCCCATGAAGGATGAATAATAGGATTAGCCAAAAGCTTTTTTGCCTTTGAGGATTTGAACCCCTATCTGATGGCATTGATCTTTATGAATAGAGCAAAAAATAGATTATCATTCCCCTTAAGTGGTAGATAATATTTAAAAGGCCAAAAAAAACCAAACCCAACCCTTATTGCTCAGACCACATCAGAATGACTAAACTCATACTAGTTCAAAATCACAGTTGAAATGAAATAGGAAGTTAGTTAATACTTTAGGTAATGGGAATGTCTTTCTTGTTCAGAAAAGGAAATGTGGGAGGGGGGGAACGGAGTGGGGTGAGCAAAAACATCTTCCTCTTTATCTGTATGCTTTATAATATCCTTCCAGAGAGTATACCCTGTCCGACCCAGGCCACATTGCAAGCAGCCGGTGAGTTGACTAAGTCATAAGATTCCTTCTTTATTATCACATCATGCAAAGTCAGGTACTCCGCAGTTCCTCATTATATACAGAAGCCCTATGCTATTTGAGAGACAACCAATAAGAAGATGCTCTGCACAGAACTCTCAAGCAACAGCAGTTGATCTAGAGGTGGCAGCTTTGACATGGCATTGAGATGCTTGTAGATGGAAAACTAGTCCTACCTATCCAAAAGATAGTGAGCAGTTCTTCCATTTGCCCTCTCCGTAAAGGGTTTTCTGTGACAAGACAAAGTAATAAAAGTAATCCCATGGATAATTATCCATGCACAATATAAATCTTACTTTGAAGTTATCCTAAAGTCATAGCAGCTGACGATTCTCTTCTGCCAAGTATCTTTCACCAATTTGAGCAAGAGCTACTTGGGAGGATAGAGAAAAATTTAGCATAAAACAAGATACGGCAAAAGAAAAAGTATGCCTTCCTATTGCTGTGCCAAACTAGTTGGTTGCCCAACAATCCTGCTGTCAGAAGTCTCCTACTGTCAGAAGTCCCATTTCTCAGTTGACTTTTACAACACTTGCAGTACCTGGAATTATGATCGGCATGGGATGGCATGGGATTTTCCTTGCTGCCCCAGGATTCCTTGGAGATAGAAGTGGCATTTACATAAAACGTATCCTTAAGCTCCATTTTGCAAGTGAAACAAAGTTACAACAGCCAAAATAAATAAGAAGGCTGGTTCTTGTAAAAATTAATTCTGCTGATTAAATTCCAAGAAACTACCTGGATACAAGGGACAAAATCAGGTTAAATAACCTCTTGCTCAATGGGAAAAAGCAAACTAATCAATAGTTCCAACCCTGCACTGAAAACTGAAAAAGTATTGTTACAAACTTGTGTGTTTGTGTGTGTGTGTGTGTGTGTGTGTGCATGCATGTGTCTGTATCTGTGTGTGTCTCTTGACTAATATCTTTAGTTGTTCATTACTGAAAGCATATCTCACCTTTTGGCTTATTATTAGTTTAGGCAATTTACAATAGAAATACAAACAAATTAATATATTAAAATAAATAAACTATTAAAAAGTTTTGTGAAAAAAGTGTTTTTAATCTTTCAAAATTAGGATTAATACAAATTAAAGCATTTCCCCATGACATAGCATCTGACTCTGTTCTTATTCCTTTCAGGTGAACCAGGATCCATGTTTTGATTCAGGTATTATTTATCCTTTTTTGTATTTGGAACAAAAATACATCCTTTTTTTAAATTGTGCAAACACCATGCATGAATTCCTTAGTTTTTTCTAATCTGTTGGCAATTTATCAATCCTGCAATCTTTAGGACTGATCAATTTGATGTTTTCTCTGACTACCATAGCTATGGTTCCTAGCTGAATTGTCAAGTTTATAGGTAGTCCTTGACTTATTTAGTAACTGTTTAATTTATTACGATATCATTGAAAAAAGTGATTTCCGAACAGTCCTCACATTTATGACCATCTCAGTATCCCCTCAGCCATGTGATTGTAATTCAGGTGCTTATCAATTGTCACACACTTGCAATGGTTACAGTGCCCTACAGTCATATGACCACCATCTGCAACCTTCCCAATTGGCTTCTGACAAGCAAAGTCAATGGGAGAGCCAGAAGATCAAAAGCCACAATCATCTGATGTCTCGTTTAATGACTATGGTAATTTGCTTAATTACAACAGATAGGCCATGATATCAGATGCAATCACTGCACTGCTTGGTGATGATTACTCCACTCCAAGCTGAGGCTGTAAGTTGAGGATTACCTGTACAACAGAAAAATAGAACATAAGTGCAAAACAGGGCAACCTGATGTGGCTTTGGCAGGACGTTAAAAGAAAATGTTGCTATCCTTCATTTGTGGAGAAACCTGAAGTACTTTCTGCCCATGCATCGCCATCTTCTGTTCTAGTTTGGCATGAATTTAGTGTTTAGGACATGTTTGGCATCTGTAAAGTAGGAAGGAAGCAAATTCGTAGTTCGTATAGAGGAAAATATTTATATTCTGGGAAAGGAGGGCATATTCATTCAAACTTTTTTTTCTTCCACAGATATAGAACCAATTATGAAGGATTCCCCTGACAAAAGCCAGAATGGATATAAGGTGTGTTATTATTACAAGTTTCTCCATTTTGATTTCTCTTCCAAAGTAAGGGCAGAGATGGGCAAATATTTAAGGCTGCATATATATATATATATATATATATATATATATGCAGCCT